AAGGCTGAATATTCCCAAACTTGGGAATATTCAGCCTTGACTATATAAAATAAACACAATATTTCCCCCATGTGTGAGATTACCTGATTACTGAAGGTAATTATCTTCCCCAAGCTTTCACTCTCTGGGTTGCTCACGGTGTTACTCTCTGTGGTCGGAGCAGCATTCCGAGTAGTCCTCGACAGCTTTCCTTCCTCCTCTGTCCCGTCAGAGGGATTTAGACCTTCAGTTTGATTGGATCTCACAGATGTTTCAGAATCCACTCGTTCAAGCTCAGACTCCAGTTTGGTGGGTAAGGCTTCACTGCTGTCATGCACTGGAGCAGACTGATAATCATTCATCCCTGACTCCACATCCGTGCTGATAGTCTGAGAATACATGGAATCAGTGGTAGACTGATTAAAAGGAGTTTCATCTTCAGAGGACTTTTCTGTTGTTTGTTGACGAGCTTCATTGCTGGTTGAGGCAATGGCACAGGGCGCAACAGCGGCAGGTATGTTGTCTTCCTCCTTACTGGGTGCTGGATCTCTGGACTGGATCTCTCTGGAAAATTCAGTTTTGTTCTTCACATTATCTCCATTTGAGGCCGAGTAGGAAGAGCAAGGGTCTCGGGATCCCTTCTCCACTGGAGAGAGGGTTGTTGAAGGAGCCAATGGTCTTCTGTTGCTCCCCTTTTCTGGAGCTTCTGGACTGGAAAAAGTCTCAAAAGAGTGAATCCTTTGCTTGATTGATTGGTTGGTTGCAGACGATGCAGATCTGATACCAAAGTTTCTGCTGAAGCTTGCAGCAGATGTTTGCTCTGATGGTTTTGCTTGCGTCTTCTGGTCCTGCTCATCCTTAATTTTCCTCAGACTCTGGCGAAACCAGGCAGGTTTGGGTGCCACTGGAGGCGCCTTTTTAAGTTCTGAAGGAGTTTCAGATTCATTTTCAGGAGTCATTGTGACTGTGTCATCGACCTCAAGGACGTTCTCTTCGTCATTCATTGTAGCAGAAAGGCCGTGAACATTAACAGTGACTCTGCTGTCTGTAACTTGTGGGTAGTGATTCTCGGGCAGCTTTTCAGAGGAGGTGTTCTAGTGAAGCCAGGGATCCCAGAGCTGTTCTTGGATAGGGTGATCAGCACAGGCCTGTCTCTTTAGAGTTTTTCTCTTTGGCTGTGAGCAGTGAGCAGCTGATGAACTACCTGCACAAAAGACACAGACAAAAACAAAATAATTTATTGTGCATTTGAAACATTTCATGTCACAAACTTAAAATCTAAATAGTTTTAACTTAAAGGTGGATGCGTCTTAAAATCCACCAGCTTAAC